TCCCCCCTTTCCTGCCTGGCTCCTCTCCCATTCCCATTCTCCCTTCCCAGCCCTCAGGAGGAGCTCCTGAGGAGCAGCAGGAGCTCCCCAGCTCCAGCTCAGGACTCCTCCCAGCCCTGGAATTCTATCTCTGCACGGCACAGGGCACACAGAACTCACCACCTCAGCTAACAGCAAATTCCAGGGGGATTTAACTTCCAGACAAGGCCCCTGCTTAAATGCCAACGTGGAGGGGCTTTTAAAAACCAGCTTTAACCTGAAATAGGCTGTTTGTCTCTGGGGGTGCTCGCCTGGAGAAAGGGAAGCTTTGGGAGAGCTCCGAGCCATTCCCAGGGCTCAAAGGAGCTCCAGGAGCTCCTTGGGACGAGGCACAGGGAATGGCATTGAAGCGGTGGAGGGGCAGGTGGGGCTGTGGGCACAGAGGAGCGGGACCAGCCTGGGGGGGTGGGCAGGGCTGGGCTGGGATTCCAGAGGAGCTGTGGCTGCTCCATCGCCCGGAGCAGCCTGGGGACCTGGGGGTGGCCCCAGGCAGGGCAGGTGGGCAGGGTGTGCCAGGGACACGGGCCAGAGCGGGCTGGCATGGGACAGAGTGGGCTGGCACAGGTCAGAGCAGGCTGGCACGGGACAGAGCAGGCTGGCAGGGTGTGCCAGGGAGTGCCAGGGGCACGGGACAGAGCGGGCTGGCACGGGCCAGAGCAGGCTGGCACGGGTCAGAGCAGGCTGGCAGGGTGTGCCAGGGAGTGCCAGGGGCACGGGACAGAGCGGGCTGGCACGGGCCAGAGCAGGCTGGCAGGGTGTGCCAGGGAGTGCCAGGGGCATGGGCCCACGGCAGGGATGGGCTGTCCCGAGGCTGGCAGGGTGTGCCAGGCTGTGCCTGGGGCAGAGGCCCACGGCAGGCCCGGCTGTCCCAGGACTGGCACGGCGTGCCCGGGGCTCAGGCCCACAGCAGGCCCGGCTGTCCCGGGGCTGTCCCGGCTGTCCCGGGGCTCGGGCCCTGTCTCACCGTTGTGGGCACTGCCCGAGGCGCACTCGTCCCTCTCGGACTGGCTGGCGCTGCTGTTGGAGGCCGTGGGCGGCGGCGACGGCGCCCGGCTGGAGGCAGCGCTCTCGCTCTCGTCCAGGAGGCGGTCCATGTAATCCCTGCGGACAGACAGACAGACACATGGGACCCCTGCGGGCAGACAGACAGACAGACACAGCCATGGGACCCCTGCGGGTGGACAGACAGACAGGATCCATGTAATCCCTGCGGACAGACAGACAGACAGACACAGCCATGGGACCCCTGCGGGCAGACAGACAGACAGACAGAGCCATGGGACCCCTGCGGACAGACAGGATCCATGTAATCCCTGCGGGCAGACAGACAGACAGACACAGCCATGGGACCCCTGCGGGCAGACAGACACAGCCATGGGACCCCTGTGGGCGGACAGACAGACAGACAGAGCCATGGGACCCCTGCGGATGGACAGACAGACAGAGCCATGGGATCCCTGCAGACAGACAGACAGACACACACA